CCCCAAAACCCCAAAACCCCATGTTCTAAGATTAAAACCTGATTTATAAGTTAAATAATATTTATTCATTGAGTCTAATAATTCATCATTTTTATTCAGTTATTAATCTTTTAGTTTTAAATATAATATCAAAATGTTGATGATTTCATTTCATTCATTTGACTTATTTGTAAAGCATAATTTCGGATAATTACAATCCCTCACCAATAGCAGAACAGAGATCAATCTTTAATTGTGTAGTCTAAAACGCATGTTCATTAGGTTTGAATAATCTGTTTTAAAATCTCTCATCAAACATCAGATTATCTTTTGATAGAATAACTTCGAATTGTTCTCCCTTCATAACAGAAAGTTTTATAGAAGCAGGATCCATTTTTGGAGCATCATCTGCACTTTTAATACCAAATACCATAAACTCAATTTCTTCTTCAAAATTAATGATGATGCTAGCTTCAGCACAAGCTTCGATGCTCCACTTACCATCTTTTTAAATCAAATTCTCAGCTTGATGAGCAGGGAGTTATTTGCCTTCGCATTATACCTTAATACTTCCCTTAATTTTAATCTTTCCATCATAATACTAATCTTCCAAACTATGAGTGCTATCATTCTAAGCTTTGAGTTCCAGTTCTTTTTTATTGATTTTTTCTTGCTCTTTCTATTGTTCCTCTTTCTTCATTAATAATGTGATGATCTATTCAAATAGCCAGTGAATTTGTGATTTAGAGATTTGACCTGATTAATAGGTGTCAGACTTCTTGAAATACTACTCTACTTTGGCTTCATCAATAGGGTACTTAAGCTTACCAAATAGTTCTTTCAAGCAATTCCTGAATTCCTATTTATCAAGATAGCCGTTTCTATTCTCATCGAACTTTTCCCATGTTTCTGTGTACATATCTTTCAGTCTTTCAACTATAGCTTTATTAGATTCTTTGGCAATCATATCATCAAATTCAACTTTTTCTTAATCTGAAGGATCCTTTTCATTATCTTCATTCTTATTTTGATGAATTTTTGGAATCACATATTATATTTCTTGTACTTTTTAATCCCAATCAATATCTACAAGACTAGTGTCAACTTCTAATTTGAAGTAAAAATTTGGAAGTTATTCTAACGATTAAACTGGTACAAGAATTGACCCTTCAACTAAGTAATTCCTGATAAGGTTTATTTATGAAAATAGTTCGAAAACTATATTTGTTAAACCTTCTGCTTCTGAAAGGTCGAGTGTTGCTACATAAGTATTAATAAGCCGATTTTAATTTTTATCAAATGGTATATTAACTATTGAGGATGGTAATTCACTTTGATCAGCTTTGAAACCGACTCCCTAGTAGTGAGAAAATCTATATTAAACCGAAATATTTTTATTTCCGTGGCGGAGGTACACATGATAAACGCCGGGTGGTATTTTTTCAATTCTCCATTTTGGATTAAACCACCAGACATCAACGCATTTGTATAACTTTTTCCCAAAGAGTGAATTTTCTATTTAACATAACATCCAAAAATGACTCTATAATTGGTAATCCCAAGTAAATCCACTTGCTGCAGTAGCAATACATATTACTTCATCTTTAGTGTATAATCTATAGGAAGACTTTGTGCCTTTTATTATATCTAGGCTGTTTCTGGCACATTTATCTTTAAATTCTTTATCTCTTTCAATTCCAGCTTGAATCGCTTTGCTATCTTTAAACATTTTTAATTTAATTTATTGGAATTTTTTATTTAATTTTCTAAGTTAGTACTGTTATTTTTAGGAATTATTATTTTGAATAAATATTTTAAATATAAATGATTTAATTGACGATATTGATGAATGGGGTTTTGGGGTTTTGGGG